GTATGTGACACTGATCAGGCCACAGTTGGAGTACTGCATCCAGATCTGGGCGCCGCACTTCAGGAGGGATGTGGACAGCATGGAGAGGGTCCAGAGGAGGGCCGCCCGCATGATCAGGGGGCAGCAGGGCAGGCCTTACGAGGAGAGGCTACAGGACCTGAACCTGTTCAGCCTCCACAAGAGAAGGCTGAGGGGGGGTCTAGTGGCCGGTTCCAAACCTGAGGGGGGATCTAGTGGCCGTTTACAAACTAGTCACGGGGGACCAGCAGGCATTGGGAGAGTCCCTGTTCCTCCGAGCACTACCTGGAATGACAAGAAATAACGGTCACAAGCTGGCAGAGGGTAGATTCAGGCTAGATATCGGGAGGCACTACTTCACTGTCAGGGTGGCTAAGATCTGGAACCAACTTCCAAGAGAAGTGGTGTTGGCTCCTACCCTGGGGGTCTTTAAAAGGAGGCTGGACGAACACCTGGCTGGGATCATTTGACTCCAGTACTCTTTCCTGCCACGGCACGGGGTCGGACTTGATGATCTGCTCAGGTCCCTTCCGACCCTACCAACTATCAAACTATGAATAAATGCCTTGTATCAGCACTTTTTTTTTCATTCCTATTGATCATAATGCACTTTAAAACTGTATGTAGTACACACTATTTAAATAGACTAGTGAAGGAAAACAGTAAAGGCACCCTGTTGTGAGGATGGTGAAATTATTGGCTAAGGGTATCCATGTGAATCTCTCCTGTAACAGAACTACCCGGAGGCAAAAGCGCAAAGGCCTTCCTTGATTTTTTTAAAGGTACTATCCAAAAGATTCATGGGCAATAAACTACATGCAACTCCATTTCTTTTCCTTGCAAAGATGAAGTGTTGGGTTGATTCTTTCAGGAACTGACATTTGATCCCAGGTTACCTAATAATTAGGCCCTAATTATTGCTAGCCTGTTACCAGATTTGCCCATCTGGTAACAGGCTAGCAATAATGGGTGCGCTCATTTATTAGGGATATGTTTTTAGGGTCTTTGTAATTCTATCAATGTGCTGCGTCTGTTACTTGTGTTTCTATACAGAGCTGTATCTCTCGCTTCTGCAAGTCCTAACCCCCAATGGAGCTATCTTGCAGGACTCAGTTTCAATGGGGCTGGGTTCCCCCAGCCACCTAATCATTCCAATACACACACACAGATTAACGTGACACGCCTGACCCAACTGGGTTGATCAGCATGGACAGGCTGAGCCCTCATATGCCAGGAATCAGTTCTTTAAGTTAACAATAAAATTAAGTCAGACACAAGCACACAGGTAAACAGAATACCTCTGAATCCAGCTGGGTGTCCAGCTGACACCCTCACGGGCTAGCATTTACTTCATTAGGGCACGTCTGAGCCAAACTGGGTCAATCAGCCTGTGCAAGCTGATCCCCTTATGTGTTTCAAACTCAGCACGTCCCAATCTTTTGCCCTATCTGTCCTAGTAGTGGTAGCCTCTTGATGAGCAGACCCTGTAGCAGAAAGCCCCCTTTTCCTCTTGTCTGCATTTGCTCTCCCCTCTTTGGATATCTTTCTCTTTTTCTACCTTTTCTTCCTTCCTCTCTCTTTCACTTTAAGATAAGGAATTGTGTTTTAAAATTTGTATGTGTGCATTTTGTATCTCCCCTTGTAGTT